CATAACAGCCACAGGTTTCACAGACAAAGAGGGCAACCACCACGAAGTCGACGTGATAATATGCGCGACCGGCTTCGACACCTCCTGGCTGCCGCGTTTCCCCTTCAAAGCCCATGGACGTGATCTGCGCGATCTATGGGGTTCAGAAGAAGGCGTAACATCCTATCTCAGCGTTGGTATCCCCAACTTCCCGAACACGTTTTCATTCTGTGGTCCGTATGGTCCTCTGGGTCACGGTTCTTTCATGCCGCTGATCGAGGTATGGACCCGCTACATCTTCTCCGCCATTACAAAATGCCAAGTCGAGAACATCAAATCTCTTACTCCCAAACTTGCTCCTTGTGTTCAATTTCGCCAACATGCCGATCTCTTTCTGCAGCGCACGGCATGGACTTCACCCTGCCGCTCTTGGTTCAAGCAAGGGAAGATGGATGGACAAGCAACCATGTGGCCGGGCTCGCGCCTCCATTTTCTCAAGATTATGGAGGCGCCACGGTATGAAGACTTTGAGATTGAGTACAAGGAAGGAAACATGTGGGCGTTTTTAGGAAATGGGTTTGATGTAAGAGAGTTTGATGGGAGGGATATTACGAACTATCTGGGAAACTTGGACGAGGAGGGAAGAGACGTGCAGCCTGACTACGATGAGGGACTAAAAGACGTACTTGGAGGATTTACGTTGGGAGATGAGTACATTGTCAAAGGTGGGCAATAGGTTTCGTGAAGACATCGAGGCCTGATCTATGCCACTGCGCTTGACCTATCCATCTCCATTTTGGCAACGCTCCACCTGATAAAGTTTAGACTTATCGAGAAGATAACGGCGTGGGCGCGTAAAGGTATAGGCGCCTTCGCTGGCAATACTCCGAAGACTTCACCTTGCACAGGCTCATCATTCCACCATGCACAAGACTGCGTGAAAGACTAGTCCTCAGAGGGGCAAAACACAGGCAATCGCTTGTTCTCACCTCCGCTTTCGCTTTCAACAAACGGATGCCCGGCACTTTGCGCGCACGATTCGAGTGATTTCGGCATCGCCTGCGCTCCAAGCATGCTCCATGGGCGCCCCAGACGCATTGACGATATCACAACAACCGCCAGACGAGCAGAAAGCGGCACCCACTAGTCGGCTACATGCGGCGACATATTCCTCTACCAGCGCACCTCAGTGCATGGTTCCCGTCACTACACCCCATCCCCGTTAGCAGAACGGCCAAAACCGACACTTTCGTGATCCAGGCCATGGCGCCCAGAAGTGTTCACGTGAGAGACCTCCGACGCCTAGCCTTTGATCTCCCGACAAACCTCCCGCCAGCACCTCGCGTGACCAATCACACGGTACTTGCGGAGTGGCGCTGACATTAGACACGTCATTCCGAAGCTTACATGCGCGTGCTGCAGCAGAAAGACTATGCGGAGAAGCACGCTAGAAGCACACTAGAAGCTCTCGTTGAGATGTCGACCCCAGCTTCCACCCCAGTGGTGCAGGCACCCTTGCAGGTTGGGTACTGTGCCCGCAAGATAATCAACTTGGTTCCGATGCGGCAGACTTGCTAGCAGATGATGGGGATGTCGAGGCTGGTATTTGCGAATGAGAAGATACTTTGGATCGCAGGCATCGCGTTGGATGACCAGAAATGACGAAGCTCGTGGCTGTCGCGTGCAGCGGATTGGTATGCAGATGCAAGATCTACACCTTTCCACGAAGAGATGGAGACCTCCATCCACACTGGTTGAGCATTTCGCAAACCACTGTCAATACTATCAGCTCGATGTGAAGATCTTTTCATCTGCAAAGCCAGGAAGCAAATAGGCATAGCTGACACGTACTAAGCTAACACATCGAATGTTGAGCGACTTTCCAAATGCTTCAGTCGATATCGCGATATCGCAGCGCAGCCATAGGACAGCCCAGCATGCAGCCTCGCGGCAAACAGGTCACAGACCCCAAGCTTCAGGCCATGCGAGACCACCCTGGCCCAGCAGTCGGAGCCTCAACAAGGCCTCATGTCATTGTGCCTAAACCATGCCAAGGGAGCCCAGAGGCTACTGGCTGCGCGTCCAAGAGACGGTGCGCACCAACGCTAAACAAGATCACGAATTCCCCAAAGAAGGCTTGGTGGCGCCCAGAATCTTTCCTGGATCGCTTGTCGTTCACTCGCTGGCCCTTCAAGCCTCGCTTGCCGTTGCTTGTAAAAACGCCTTCTAGAGGTTCTGCACCGAAGGACCCTGACGACATCGCACCAGGTAAGATCGCTGAGATCAACAGCGGGGTGCAGATGATGCGCCCCTCTAGAAGGCGCTGGAGCAGCTCGCTAAATGGGCATTTTGCGGGTTGGGGACTCCACTGTTGTGTGCATTCCAGTTTTTTTCTGCGCTACAGTCTCTCCATGGGGTTGGCAACGCGGAGATGCTATCGAGCCCCATCTGCGAGGCATTTGTCTCATGAGGCTCAACGACTAAGTGGGACCGCTCGGAGAAGAACGTCCATGCGTTGCTGTTAGTGCATGCTTATGTACGTGGTGATTGGACACAGACACGCACCATCCGATGTTTGCCGGCTATACTCTCGGGGGGAATATGCAGGCTACTGAGTCGCCGAGGAAGAGCCAGCCCATCACGGCAGCGCTCCGATGAAAATTTGCGGATACTGGGGTGTAGCGTACGGGGCGATGCGTTAGCAGGAGAATCTACCCCAACACCCCGGCTTATACGCCGCGCTCAACCAACGCCAGCATGGGACTACCGAATGGGCTACCGACTGCTATTGCAGTCTGGATGGCACCAGCCCCATGTCGCGACCTATACCATGGAGATGGGTATCTGGAGACGCGAGACGCGGGGACCGGATATATAGTGTGCGCTGTATCCCTTCACTGAAACAGCATCAGCATCTCGCTCTTCGTCTCTCACTATCTGGGATTCGCCTCTACAGACATATCATCTGTTGATCCTTGGGCTTCATCTTCCTTCGTTCCCAATCTTCATCTTTACCCTATCATCACCATGGGTTTCTTTGGAAACAACGGCTCGCAAGAGCCTACTCTGGACCAAGTCCACGAACAGCAAGCTCGCCGCCCTTCAGTCGCTGAAGTCGTGGACGAACAGGTTCGCCGCAAGTCTGTCGACAACCGTGTCGTCACTGGAGCTTCTGCTCTTACGGTCCGCCAATCCATCGTTCCCGTCACTTTGGTCACTATCCTCTTCTTCATGTGGGGATTCGCCTACGGTCTTCTCGATGTCCTCAACTCTCGTTTCCAGGTCGCTCTTGACATCACTCGTGGAGAGTCGTCTGGCCTCCAGGCTGCTTACTTCGGTGCTTACTTCATCGGTCCTTTGACATACTCTGGATGGTTCCTCCGCAAGTTCGGTTACCGATACACCTTCATTCTCGGTCTCTCCATCTACTGCGTCGGTGCTCTTATGTTCTGGCCTGCGGCTGTCAAGCGAAGCTTCGGTGGCTTCTGCGGTGCCATGTTCCTTGCTGGATCTGGTCTGTCGACTCTCGAGACTTCCGCCAACCCTTACATTGCTGTTTGCGGTCCTCCCAAGTACTCCGAGTTCCGTCTTGAGCTGTCTCAGTCCGTTCAGGCTGTTGGCTCCGTCGTTGCTCCCGTCCTCGCTGCTCAGGTCATCTTCAAGAATGTTGGTACCGACGGCAAGTCCCTCGAGGCTGTTCAATGGGTCTACCTTGGTATTGCTGGCTTCGTCGGTATCCTCGCCGTTGTTTTCTACTTCGCTCCCATTCCTGAGATTACCGATTCCGACATGGCCGACCAAGCTGAGATGACCACCGCTGCTACAGGCTACGTCGACAAGCCTCTCCGCAAGCAGTACACTCTCTTCTGGGGTACCGCTGCTCAGTTCTCCTACGTCGCTGGCCAAGTAGGCGTCGCTGCTTATTTTATAAATTATTTTGTTAGTATAACCCGTATACAGACGATAGGGAACATTTGCTGACTTTGGATCTATAGGCTGAGGCACGCCCTGACCTTTCTGTCACTGAAGGCCACCACGAGGGAGCCAACTTCTACGCCATCGCCCAAGCCCTTTTCGCCGTCGGACGTTTCGCAGCAGCCGGACTCATGTACTACGGCGGCAAGCCCCGTTACGTCCTCCTCGCTTTCCAGACCCTGATCATGATCTTCATCAGCGCTGCGATCGGCACCAACACCGGCAGTGCCACCCGTCCCAACTGGGGAGGTCTCAGCATGCTGATGATCGTCCTCTTCTTCGAGTCCTGCATCTTCCCCATCATCTTCGCTCTTACACTCCGCGGTCTCGGTCGCCACACCAAGCGCGGTGCTTCTTTCCTCGTCTCCTCCGTCTGCGGTGGTGCCGTTGGTCCCGTCATTCTCGGCAACGTTGCTGACCGCATCGGCACACGGAAGGCAATGTGCATCCCGCTCATCTTCTTCGCGATTGCCTGGTCTTACCCTATCTACCTCAACATGGTCAAGGGTGCCGAGCTCGATGCTTACAGCGAGAGCCATGTTGGTACCACCGATGGTGCTATTGACAACGACTCTGTGCTTGCTGGCAAGGACGTCGAGGCCCGCATGTTTGAGACCAAGGTCTAAACTTGTGTGCTTTGGTAATATTGGGTGGGATTACTTTTGGATTAGATGATACCTATGAGGCTTGAACGATGATAGCGCGGCGTTTATGATGGGATGATCGGACTTCGCTTGGTCGGGCGGAGTCTTGTATATATCACGACTTCTTTGTGCATATATAGGATTGCATACTGTTTATACGAATCATTAAACTTTACCACTACCTTCTCCTCGTTCAATACCATGCGCGAGATCTCTTCAGTTGCCTACATCGAATGTTGAGAGTTCGACAGGTGCATCTTAATTCCTTCTAAAGACCACATTACACGACTTCAACATCCTTGCCCTTCATTTGAAGCAGCGTGGCATATACAAATCTCATTGTATTGACCATAGGCCGCTGTAAACATATCCCCGCCTCGTACGTGACAGTCGTGAGCCACCTCAAGCGTCAGGCCTCTCCTCATCCCTCCCCACTACCACCTCAAAGTTCGCCTCATTCACCAGCTTCCAGAACTCCGCATTGCGCTGTCTGGCGTTCAACTCCTCAAGACACAACCCCGTGACCGTAGGCCCCATCAAGATCTCCACACACTGCAGCCTCGGCCAATGGTTCGCCTTCTGCGCGCCAAAGAGATCCTGCAGCCACCTGCTTTCCAAGAATGCCAAGTCAACGTCGAAAATCTTGAGGTGCTGCAAAGAGATCGGAAGAGCTTGCGTCGGTGAAAGTTCGAAATCGCCTTCAAAGACTGCGTCAAAACGCATGTTGTCAAGCTTGATCGATATGAGCGCTGCTTGAGGGATGACCAGTTTCTTGAGTTGCTCAAATTGGTCGAATCGCGGTAGTGGCTTGCGCATCGCACCCGGTAGTGTCCAGAAGCCACCTGGTAGTTGTAGGGTTTCGAGGTTTGGACGCAAATGTACCATGCCGTCTACGAGGTTCTGGTAGTCGGTGACTTCGCTTCGCGCATCGTATATCGTTCGGTCCCAGTACTGCTCATCCACATAGACATCGTCCTCGAAAGCAGACGGCCCGGTTGGATAGTATTGGATATTTGCTTGATAGGCAGGAAATGCGCGCACACTTCGATAAGGGTTCTTGCTGTCTGATGACTCCGCATAGTATTCTAGGGTTTGAAGATTGGGGAAAGCGCGGAGGATGTTCGTCATACACGCTCGAGCGGTGGTGTTCCATACGCCGACGGTCCTGACTTCAAAGTCCAGACGTAGATGTCGGATGGTTGGCTGTGCGCGTCGGCTATTGAGATAATGGTCGGCTTGCATGCGAATCTGCGAGTGTATTTGGCCTTGGAGTCTGATGCTCAGGTCGAGGGTATGCAGATTGGGATAGTGCTCCAAGCCGCCCCCTAATAGCGGTGGTAAGGGGCTCTCGTACTTCAAGTAGGTTAGCACATGAGCGGTCGGTAGCCTTAAAGCAAATTTCGGCCAAGGGCGCGTGGCTTGGGAATGCGCCTCAACTAGGGTAAGATATGAGTCTGGGTCGAATATGCACAACGTCGCAATATTTGGTAGCAGAGCCAAGAACACGGAAGCTGAAGCATGTGCGAATGTGCCCTTCAGTTCTGCAATCTTCCCTGTCTTCAACCAAGCGGGTAGGTCGAGGGAAGCGACAATCTCACACGCCTTCTCGTAGACGCGATAGTTCACGTGAGGCTCTACCGGACCTCGCCCATTGAGCTCCATGATACCACGATCTTCCGACGGTAAGCATAATCTCAGCTGCTTTATATGTCGTTTCCATCCTGGTCGTGCTTGTAATCTCCAGATCAGGCCGTAGATGTCCGAGTTGGAAAGCTCATTCAATGTTTCTGGGAAGTCGACCTCGAGCACGAGCGAAGAAAGCAATACTTCGCGAGCCAGAACCGTAAACCTCTTACACGTCAACGCAATGTTGAGCAGCGAGCGAGAATTAGCGCGAAAATCGGAAACGAGATACTCGTCTGGAGAGCTTGGAGGGGGATCATCTGGAATATAGCCCAATACACGGATGGACCTATGCAAATCGACATGCGAAAAGACTTGCAGTAGTATCTCGTTTGGTAGAGTGGTCAGCGAGCTGATGCTGTCGCCTGGCAAGCATTAGATGATGACGTATGTAAGGCAAATGTTTAGCACACTCACTTCTGGATGCTTGAAGCGGTGGCAGCCCTTCCATTGTCCAGAGCCGTTCTCTAGATGCACCAATTTGATGGAGTGTAGGGTGGTTGAGGTGGGCTGCATTGCACTGCTGCAGGTGCTCGCTGTGCCGCACAGCATGTCATTTAAGCTAGTCCCGGTTTAGCATGGCGGTTTTCCACGGCTCGGCAGGCCGCATCCATCTGGCCTTCCATCATCCAGGCGCGCGACATCGAATTACCACTGGGAGTACAACACTTTGGGCAGTCTGCATCACTTAGCAATGGACGGGGCGGAGAACCGGATGCGCTTAGAAAACTCTGCACCCCATGATGTCAAGGGCTGGGATTTGCTTTTGTCGATGCGTGCCTCAGACAGCGATTTGTCGCGATCGCGACGCGACGCGTGGCGGGGAAGGACCCAGCAATATCTTCGCGCACCGCCAGGAAACTGTCTCTACCTATTTGCGATCTATGGTAGCGAAGACAATACGCCCGGATATCTCCCCCGAAGTTCCACTCAATAAAAAAGGATAAACTGCATACTCAGATACCCATGTACTGAGGTCAGTGCGGCTGGAATAGACGCAGTTACAATTGCACATCTACAATGGCGGCCAACAACCTACGAAGCGTTTACCAGCAATACAAGCACGATACGGATGTCGTGGCATCATGGCGTAGGTTGCGGCCAGACTCACGAGAGATGAATGCGTTAATCTCCCTTTTCTGTAGTCGCGTCTACAGCCAAGTCATTTGGCTACAACAAGCCCCTCGAACCGCCTGCTCCTACGGAACAGAAGACGCAAAGGCTCAAAGGCAAAGCCAGAAAAGCCGGCACTACTACGCAGAGTGGATCAGACAAGCAGACGTCCAAGCCGAAATACACCCTTGCTATCAAGGACTTCATACCTTTGTCTGCTCACATTGCTAAGGTCAAAGGCACTGTGGAGGTGCCGGACTACTTCAACATTGCACTTGATCGGGTGATATCGGTTCGAAGTGCTTTCTCGCACAAGCTGGCAGCTGCCGGCGAAGCTGTCGACAAATCGTCAGATGACCGTCACAGCTTTTTTGTTACTGTCCTAGAAAGTGTCCGCGACGCACTCAAGCCTTTGATGAGAAACGATGCTCTCGATCTCAACCTCAACAGCATCAAGAATGCTACGCCTCGGAGTGGTAAAGACCGAGTCAGACAGACTGAAATTCGCAACATCTTCGAGGTTTTGGATGTATATGAGCCATCGGCGGAGTTCTTGGCTGCACCAGACGTGGTACCTCCGCCTAAACCTCTGAAACTGGATTACACTGCTGAGGTGTTGACCGACTCCGTCATTGATGCCTTTATGGCAATGACCATGTTGATGGACGACCTCTCCCGCCTTCGTGCTGAGATTGCAGACCTGTGGGGTCGGCACCATTCGGGAGAACTCGATTTGGCAACTGTGTCGGTAGCGACCAACACAGCCATTCAGCTTGCGCACAGCATGCACGACGAAGTTTATCCAGTGATGAAGCATCTCGTCGAAAGCGTGCCGTTTCATGAGGTGTACTTTCTGGCTATCGCTAAAGAAGCTGGTGTTGACCCACAAGCGAAAGGTTGGTTCGGCTGGTGGAACGACTACAACTTCGAAGCCTACGACATCGCAGACGCCCTGTTCAACAACGCCCGTAATGGCCTCCTGGTCTACCTTTACAACGATCTCTCCGCGTCCGGGTCAGTCATGGACTACAATGGTAAATGGGGTCGATTCGATGAAAATGAGGGTCCACCACCCAGAACGAACAAGCAAAAGTATGCCCGCGATAAGTCGACGTTGATGGAAGTGTTCCAAGATCTTCCCTTGCTACACAATCATCCGGGAGCGGTTGAGGATCAGTTCGTCATCGCCTTCGAGGCAGCGCGGAAATCCTATGCAAGGGAGAATACGAACAAGCAACCACCAATCTGGTCGTGCTTTGCATTCCAGATATATCTCGACATCATTTACTCTACCGAGGTTGGTGCGGGCTGGACGCAGATGCGCAACGAGTTTACTACGCTCCAGAAATACGTTGAGACATACCCTAGAGCTTCTTCCGATATGAAGGAATTGGTAAAATCAGTCGATAAGATCATGGAGGTCGATCCCATCGCGATCATCCGATCGGCGTTTACTTTTCCTTACAAGGACTATACCGTATGGCGTCGCAACCCCACACATTGTGGTCTTTGGTAGGTCCCGACTGTACGAAATGCATGTGACACATACTGACCTTGTACCTCTATCTCTGCAGGATTCACTATGCGCGAAACGTCTTCCATAGAGAAGCTGTCAAGTACGCCGCAACACCCGGGGCGGTCATGTGCGTAACGCAATTGTACCATGCCCTGCGCCAGACTGAGCTTCTTTCGGAAGAGTGGAAGGATCTTCAGACGCTGTGGGACATGCAAGGAAATTCGGCTTACTTCATTGGCGAGCCCCCTAAAGACTTTGAGGGACATTGGAAGAACTTTCTCATGGCTATTGGTGCTTCAGCAACTAACTGGGCAAGCTCAAAGAGGAATACGAAGGTCAATGAGACCAAAGCGAACGCACGTTTGTTGAAGTTCAAGGGTCCAGTATCGGCCTGGATGGCTTCGCGTATTTCAACAAATGGCGACGAACGACTCATCACAGCTGAAACAATTGAAGACGAGATCAAAGAAGGCGCACGCCATCATTCCTCCCTCGCCGCCGTCATGCCGGCCATTCAAAGGCAAACCCACGTCATACAAAAATTGGCCACTGCTCTCCACGCCGAGGCTCCAGAAATCACGTTCGATTACTTCACCATGCATGACCTTTGCTGGGAGTTGATGGAAAGGATGAAGGAGCAGTTCAGTCCTATCATTGCTGCCAAATCTGGGAAGCAGTGGGAAGCACATAAGAGCAACCTGCCGTTTGTTGTTGGCTTCGTCTTCTCTACGGCAGCGGGTAAAAAAGACATCGAGACGGACGGTGTGCCTTCGGTAGAGCTGTTAAAGATCGCTGTGCAAGTTACGAAGAAGTTCTTGGAGGAAGGTAAAGGTAGTGTGATTACCGAGAGAGGACGCCTGGAAGGTCATTTCGAGTCAGCTGGGACAGAAGAAGTGGAAATGTGGAAAGCCAAAGTGAGAGACTCCCTCACCTCGAAGGTCTTCGCGGTTTAAAGTACGTAGAACACTGCTCACCTTCGAATGGCCTTTTCCTTCAATCGCTTCTTATCGCTACTAAACTATCCACTGCTTTCCATGACGCCTTCTCAAAGATCACCAACTCTGAGAATATGACACCAGCTCCGCCTACAGCTCCCCATGCCTGCTTCGTCTGCAAACAGCCTGCTGAACAACGCTGTTCCACCTGTAGCAACGCACGCTACTGCTCTACCGCTTGTCAGAGGAAAGACTGGAAGATGCACAAGATGCTTTGCAAGTCCTTCGCAGATCTCGAGCCCCAACCTGGTCCAGCCTTCTTTCGCGGTCTCCTCTTCCCCGAAGATGAGCCTTCGCCAAGGTTTGTCTGGATTGAATACGGCAGCGTTGAGGTTTCCGCAACGATCTCCTGCGAGCCCTTCTTCGGCAAGAACATACTCGGTTGGGTGATTCAAGAACAGCCTTACCTCAAGCGCATACCCCCGCACCGCCTCGGTATCTACTACAACGACAACTACATAGGTCAGGGCTTGCCCGCAACCCCGAGTTTGACTAAGTGGCTGGGATCAGCGATAGGCGAATGCTTTCGTGGATCCTGGCTCGCACACGCCTACGAGAACGGCGTTATGTTTGACGAGGAGTGGGAGAGATGGGTAGACCATGCGATATCGACACAGCGGCGTTGGCTAGTCTCTTGGGATATTTCGAAGGTCAGGGTGCGGATTACCATGTGAGAAGCAACTTTCGCTGAGGGTTCACTCACCCAAAGATCACTGGGTTGCGATCTGATAAGATCAAGGGTCAATTGGCCTGGAGTAGGACCGAGCACGGGAGAGCTATCGGGTTTCGCGACACCTATGGAAGAACAGGATCTTGCAAGCGCATGGCGGCCTGTCTCATGGAGATCTTACCGGGGAATTTCACGACATTAGTTTGCAGCCTCGAGGATGCGCGTTCTGACTACTGGCGCAACGTGGGGCAGGCAATGCCGTCACAGCTTGACGTTAGCACCTGCTGAATTGAGCCAAGCCCCGCACTATCTGCATAGGGCGTGCCGGCGGCTATCGTAGGTATACAACATCTTAGCAAAAGTCCTGCACTCCTCAATACTGTATCCTCAACTCCTATCACTCTTGATAACTTGAGATTGGCATCATGACGTTCGATATTTCAAAAGCTCGGGAGCGCTTCCCCGCACTTCAGCAAGATCAGGTCTTCCTTGACAACGCCGGCGGCAGTCAAGCATTGGGTGATGCGATTGACTCGTAGGTGAATGTCCAGATCATGAGTACATACAAGGACTGATATGAATGCAGAATAGTACAATACCTCTCCAAGACCAATGTTCAGCTTGGCGCTTCATACCACACTGGCACTCAGTCAAACACGAATTACGAGGAGGGCTACCAAGCAGCCGCAAAGTACATGAATGCTGGCCGCGATGAGATTGGTAACGAAGCCATCAGATTCATTCACATCCTGTTACTGACGATGAACAGTTCTCGGTGCTTCAACAACCCAGCTCTTCATGAACCTCGGCTCCTCTCTGCAATTTCCCGCGGGCTCAGAAATTATCCTCTCCAAGATGGAGCACGAGACTAACGCGAAGCCCTGGCTTTTCATGGCTGAGCGTCTTGGTTTGACTGTGAAGTGGTGGGCGTCTCCAAAGGAGGATGGACTCAAACTCACAGCCGAGAACCTCAAGCCGCTGCTGAGCGACAAAGTGAAGTTTGTAGCATGCACGCACGTGAGCAACATTCTGGGGACGATTCATGATGTGAAGTCTATTGCAGAGGCGGTGCATTCGGTTGGCGCGCTGTTCTGCGTGGATGGCGTTAGCTACGCGCCGCATCGTGCGATTGATGTGAAGGATTTTGGAGTCGATTTCTACGCATTCAGTTGGTACAAGGTTCGTCCGGCATCTACTCTACTTCCTTGTTAACGGGTACTAACGAAATGACACAGGTCTACGGCCCACATGTCGCCGCTCTCTACGCAAGCAACTCAGCCCAACAGCACATGAAACCATTGGCCCACTTCTTCAACCCCACGAAGACCCTCGAAGATAAGATCGGATTCGCAGGCTCGAACTACGAGTGCGTACAGTCCATTCCGACCATCACGGCTTACCTCACCGACGCTTTCCCCGCCATCACCGAGCATGAGGGAAAGCTGCAGGCTATTCTTCTCGACTACCTGAACTCACGACCAGATGTCACGATCTTGGGATCTACTTCGAGCGATAGCAAGGAAAGGGTACCCACAATCTCTTTCACGGTCAAGGGTATGAGCAGCAAGGCGATCGTGGCTGAGGCAGAGAAGATTAGTAACTACGGGTTCAGGTGGGGGCATTTCTACTCAAAGAGGCTTTGCGATGAGTTACTGAAGCTAGAGCCGGAGGGTGTGACGAGAGTCAGTATGGTGCATTATAACACTGAGGAAGAGATCAAGGGATTGGTTGAGGTGTTGAAGAAGGTCCTTCCGCAGGTTTAGAAGCTTAGAGGAAAACGTGGCGTAGATTCCGAGGCCTGTAATAGTGAAGTATACATTGATATAACTTATAGTATTCAAAGCATGAGTCGAGTGCTGCGGTACGCGGCTGCTAGATATCTACCAAGACGTACCCCGATGAATGAAGGAAAAAGATTCCGCCCATTGCCAGTAACAGGCCTTCTATATTCCTTCTTCCACTCACTTCTCATGAACTCTCCAGTAGTTGAGTGTCGTCTTGGAGCACAACAACTCTCCACATCTCAGGACTGGCCTGGCTGAGAATGGTTCGCATGCGCGCGATGCAATTCGCCGGTACAGAGATCCGAAGCATGCCGTCAATAGGAGAGGGACACATGGCTGAAACTGCGGTCACAGTACTGATGAGGGAAGACCAGTCACGGACGGGGTGGCGTAGAACGTGATCGCTGTCGTACAGCATAATGTGCATATTGAACGTTCCTTGACGCAAACTAAGAATCGCCCGCTTCAAGAACTCGAACGCAGCAGCCTTGTTGTCGCGGTGTTCCGTAGCGCCTTTCCAGTCACTGACGAATTCTCCCTCGACCCACTGATGGAGACGACGTAGTGTTGACTGATGCATTTCGTTGGAAGTGCTACGCCGTACAGCATCCTCCTTCTGAGCTACTTGAAACCTGTGTGTAAGATGGCCCAACAGATCTCCTGTTCGATTTAGGTGCCGTGATAAATCGTTCCAGCTGGTGTTCGCAGGAACCTTGATGGTGATTAATGGGCATCTCGCCAAACGGCCGCGCTCTATGATGGGGTAGGCTTCCTCGCGAACTAGTCGACTGACTCTCAGTATACCTACAGAAGGCTTCGTATGGTATACTTGCAGGCGAGGCCCGACAAGTAAGCGAATTATAGGCATGGCCACCAGCTGATCGTAGACGCAAAGACGTATATCGGCGGGCAATCGCATGAACGGAAATGTGTCGGATTCAGTGTCTCTCGTGAGTGAAAACTTCATCTGATCATACGCAGCGTGCGACTGCTTGTCGGTGTCGTCGAGTGAGGGTGAGTTTATTTGGTGTGTTGTTGTTTCCTTCGACAGGCGCATAGAGGAGCAGTAGAGGGCATCGCCGGCTTTGTCGCAAGTCTTCCAACAGTGAGCAATGCAGACAGTCAGTTTGAATACTTGGAACATACCATCTTGAAGAGATTTTCGCCTCTAACAGAAGACTGATCTGCATCGGTACCTGGAGCAGCAGAATCCTCTGGCAAGCCGATCTCATTGAGTGGCATATTTGTTGCTTTGGCAGTCATTGCGATGTTGGTGGGTCGGTCGTAGTATAGTGTCGGTGATGAGGAAGGGCGGGTGTGCGGTCTATGAGAACTAGCACAACTGGAAACTTAGTCATTCCCACGTTCACCTTTCCAAGGTTACCATTTCAGTAGCGCACAGACTCAATTGTGGAAGCGCAAGCGTTTGACTGAGACACATCACTGCATGCATAGCAAATAATACAACGAAAGAACCCGCATCTTATTTATGAGAAAATGCTGCTAACTCTATGCTTTCAGATTTCGCCAAACAGCCGTCTCAAATCTTGCGACAAGATCGAACGTCTTGCGATCTGCCCAAGGTGACACCTGCGTGGCAAAGAACAGCGCGATTCCCCTCTCACGATTGACACTCCACTGTAGATTCGGAAGTCCTGACCAGCACAACGTACCCTTTGGCTTGAAGTAGTTCTCTCGGTCCACATCTTCCATCAACAACAAGCTACCAAGTCCGAAGTTCGGTTTGACGCCTTCCATACTGGCGTCCAACGTGCAGGTATAAGCAATTTCAGCGTTATCGACGAGTGCCTTGGCCGCGAGACTGCCTTCAGCGAACTACGGGCTGAACATGGCGTCGACCATGGTTTTGGAGAGGATGGTAGGCGAGGGTTTGAGAAGATCGGCAAGCACGCGCGTGTAGTCGTACACATTAGCATACAAGCCCGCTCCACCACCTTCTCCAACAGGATCGCCAGACCAAAAGGGTGTTGGGCCATCTGTGAGACTGCCGTCGTCTTGCCGAGTGCTCGTGCGCATCAGCTTTTCTTCCACTGCGGGCTTGCGATTGAGATGCCAGGTAAACGAAGTTATACCGAGAGGCTTTGCAATGTTGGTTTCGACATATTCTTCGAAGCTCATGTTGGCCAAACGCGTGATGAGTAAACTGGTCCAATCGAAACCACCGCTGTATTCCCAGCCTTCTCCAGCTTCGAATGTCCGTGGATAGGCATACTTCTCAGCCACGTTGCCATCGGTTATCAGAGCGGGTAGTTCGCCGCGTGAGGCTCGCCACGCATAAAGACTTGGAGAAGCCCAGTCTACAAGTTGGTGGAATCAGTCCATGCTGTGTGCTGTCCGTCTGGAAACACTTACCGTACGTCGTGCCACTGGAATGCGTGATAAGTTGACGCAGGGTGATGGACTTCGTGGCTGGACGCACTTTGATCTCGGAGCTGTCCATCTGAACGATGGGTTGGGAAGCCAGTTCTGGTAGGTACTGATCGACTGGTTCATCTAGCGTGACTAAACCGTGTTGAACGATTTGCAGGGCAGCAATAGCGGTGATGAGCTTTGTGCAAGATGCAATGAAAAAGGTTCGATCGAAGTCCATAGGCTCCGCATCTTCAGTGACGCCATTGTAACCCGCGGTCTTCTTGTAGATGAATTTGCCTGCAGCGCGCGTGAGATACACTCATTTGGAGATAGTATCAGGGAAAGTACCATCCTTATCGACGACAGCCATCACCGCCCCAGGCACAATGTCCGAGCCTTTGGCAGTCGCCTCCTCGAGGTATTTCTCAAATGCTTCCATTGAAGAGAAGTAGAAGCAAATAATCTTGATGGAGTGGCCGCTGCAGTAATCTTCGAGGTGTTCGAGTTGTTGTGTGGGCGTTTCGTCCTGATAAGATGACGACAACTATTTATGCAGTTGCTATTAGGCCACCATCCCTCGCTAACTAGCATTCCTACCGCATTCCAAGCCATAAGACAAGGCAGCCGTGATTTATAATGAGCGTTAGCAAACTGCATGTGGTAGAAGGGTGGGGGCGAAGGCTTATGTCCGATCGCCGTGCAGCGAAAAAGCATCGCAGCCATTGGTCTCGTGAAACCAGCCAACTTTGCCTGTAGTGTCCGGTTTCGTACCATCTCGAGTCTTCTATGGCGATGACTGGCAAGAAGGGTTTGCCGCCAGACAATAAGTGAAAACGAGCCAATTAAATCCCTTCATCAGTCGGCTGCTTCCTGTTCCAGAGAGTCCTGTCTGCTCTTGGTATGTGCCGCCTGCGTCCCGTATCTGCACTCCATGATTGTACAAATTGCCAAATCGGGGAAGCAGTCCACGGGTATGTGCAGACAAGCAATGTCGCTCTTCCCTGACACCGATCATGTCCGTCTGTGTAATGATCCAAGTAGAGTGCAGGGTGAAGATGACATACATACCTAGGTACAGGCTAAGACGATCGGAGAAATGTTATGCCGACTCTGGGCAAAGGTCACACTCTGTTTGGGAAGCTGTCATTCCACGAACAACAAAACTTTCAGCGCCACCCTGAAAGGTCGCATTGTTGGAAGCACACCAGCCGAACTAGGTTGGAGCAAGTAGACGTCTGCGCCATGTTCGTCGCCGCAGTGAGGCTGGTGCAGGGTCTAAAGGAACGTGTCTGGAAGCTCGGACGAAACACGGTTGACGCTCGGGCCCTCTTGCTTTGACATCTACCCCTGCAGCCTCTATCTCACACTTGATGTCATCTCCCCTCGCATCTCATCTTATGTATACGATATTCTCGCAAATCTTCATGCTCGGTAAAACTCACAACACCACGGATAGCCACCGGCAATGGCGACGTCGATCACTCAGCCTTTGTCCAGTCGGAAGAACTCAAGCCGAGCTGCACCAATGGGGAAGGCCGTTGCAAAGCCGGTCCGACGACCCCAAACTTGGTGCGGTGATTACCCCGGGTTTCCAATGTAAATACGGCGTCTTGAGCGGTAGCGCACTTCCTGAGAGGGCTATGTGGGGTAATTGATGAACATGTTACAGTAGACAAGGTTCTCCAGAAATGACATGCGCCACTTTGAATAGCGCAATGCCCATTGCTTGTATAAATCCTCCGGGGCATCGTCACTCGATTCACAAGCACTTTCATCGCATACGCCAGCTACCATGCGCTTCTCTTCAGCTATCGCGCTCGTCAGCTTATTGTCTCGGGCGGCCGTGGGAAGTCCACTCGCCAGCAACGAGCTTACCAGCCGGGCTACAACGTTCAATAATCCAATCTTGTGGCAAGATTATCCCGACCTCGACGTCTTCCGGATAGGCGATGTTTTCTACTACTCATCCTCGACTTTCGCCTTTTCGCCAGGAGCTCCGGTCCTAAAGTCTTACGACCTCGTTAATTGGACACCAGTAACTCATAGCGTACCAAGACTCAACTTCGGCTCGATATACGACCTTGATAACACAGCAGGCCATGCTTACGTCAAAGGCATCTGGGCCAGCTCACTGAGATACCGGAAATCGTCCGACAAGTTCATCTGGATTGGTTGTGTTCAATCCACTGGGAAGTCGTACATTTGGACTGCCGACGGGACCAATGCAGCCGCCAATAATGGCGAGGTATCGAGCTGGAACTGGACTGCTGCGGGCTCATTCCCCAAGTGCTATTACGACAACGGGATTTTCATTGACGACGATGACACCATGTACATCGTATACGACAAGTACCAGCTCAAGGTTGCCCAATTGAACGCCGACGGCACAGCTGAAGTCAAGAGTCAACAAGTCTATGAAGACCCAAATGGCCTATACCTCGAAGGTTCGCGCATGTACAAGATCAATGGCACATACTACATCTTCGCTACCAAGCCGGCCGATGACGAGTGGGTGTTAAAGTCAAAGAGTCCCTGGGGCCCGTACGAGGCGCGAATCCTCGTCGACAGCATCGCAGGACCTTTGCCCAACGCAGGCAACAGCCACCAAGGCGGCGTAGTCGATACCAAAGATGGGAAGTGGTATTACGTTGCGTTTATGGACTCGTACCCTGGCGGACGCATTCCTGTCGCTGCGCCTTTGAAGTGGACGGCGGATGGATGGCCGGAAGTTGAGAAAGTGAATGGTGAATGGGGCAAGACATACCCTATGCCAGTCACAACCGCTAAGACCGTCCCACCACCCACCGGCTTGGACAAGTTTACTGGAACATCTTTAAGTGCGGAATGGGAATGGAACCACAACCCTGATACCAGCAAGTGGAGCCTAGTAGGCGGGGCTGGTGGCATCAAGTTACAGACTGCTTCTGTTACGAACGACCTCTACGCGGCGCGCAACACGCTGACACACCGTATCCTTGGCCCGAAGTCATCGGGCACCTTCAAGATCGACATCAGCAAGATGGCCACTGGCGACCGTGCTGGTGCTGTACTTTTCCGTGACACTGGAGCATACATTGGTATACATAAGGAAGGCTCAGCGGCGAAGTTGGTAATGGTCAACGGCTTGGAATTAAACGCAGACCGAACAACGAAGTCTACCGGCACTGTCGCTGCCACGGGGCCTAGTCTCGCTGCCGGCACAACCGATCTGTGGTTCCGTGTTCAGTCGGATATCACGCCAGCTTTCTCCAACACCAATGCAGTGCGACAAACAACCTTCTGGTACAGCACTGATGGCACCAAGTTTGTGCAACTTGGTCCCGCGTACAACATGGCGAATACATGGCAGTTCTTCACCGGATACCGATTTGGTGTGTTCAACTTTGCGACAAGCAAGCTGGGTGGAGAGGTTCTGGTCAAGAACTTCGAGTTAAAATTGGTGTAGATGCAATGCGCATTGTTAGAACGTGGTGACGTTATTCATATTACAACCAGGCTAGTTCATCGAGCTCTACAAACATCATTACTGTCGTATCGTCGTCTGCAATCTGAGAATGATTTCATCGGTGAAGTAACGAACCGGAGATAAGAAGATAAGACACAGCCGCTGACAGTCACCGCAACATCCGCTGCTGTATTTCCACAAACTACGGCACGTGCAGACAGCGTTTGTACGTCTACAGCCAAACAGCAGCCAGGACTCACAGTTACCCCAATGTATTGACGCGTCACATTCATAGTTCTTCAAAATTATCCCCATGCTATCCGTGAATACGCATCATCACAGATGCACGCAATCGCGCAATGGTAGACGGTGGGCCTTTCATGTATTTAAAGTCTACCATGATCACTCTCCATCACCTAGGTCGAGGACACTCGCCATTTATAACTGACACCAGTGACTTTTAGAGACCGCATCACTTTCTACACTCTTTCATACATCTCCAAGATCAAGATGGGCAACACGTACCACCATCATAGCGAAGAAAAGAAGCCTTTGAAGTGGTTTGCTTCGCCTTTGATCGAAGACCATGTCAAAGACGACGGCGAGAAGGAACACCAAAGCCCAGCCATAACTCGAGAGAATACACAGTCGGTCCTCGATAGCGAGTTTCACGATCCTAATGCCGAAGCTGGTCTTCAGCTCGAGGTCGAGGTGTGCACGCAGGAGCTGCGTGACATGCCATCTTTCAAGCGCCATGCCGAAGCCACGAATCAAGAGTTGTTCTTCGATCTCTGTAAGTACCCAGGCCTTCTCTAAAATATTAATGTGTCTTGCTAACGACGCCATCTTCCAGTTTTCGTCGCCAACTTGACCACGTTCACTTCGTTGAAGGAAATCAACGATAGTGCTTCTCTGCGCGCCTACGTCGGGTTCTTCGCCTTGCTCTGGCTCACCTGGTACTCGAACTCGCTCTATGACGTTCGCTTCACTGCCGATTGCATCTTCGAGCGAATTGCCAAAGCCCTCCACTTCGGTGTCATGGTCGGGTTCGCTGTTGTCGGTCCTGCCTGGGAGCCTGGAAAACCTACGAGCTCACTCCAGAAGTATCAAGTGCTTTCGTTCATCCTTATGGTGTCTCGTCTGGTACTCGCGGCCCAGTATAGCGTCACTTTGTTCTTCGTGCGCAAACACAAAAAGACTGTCCTACCGCTATCGCTCGTTATCGGCTCGACGCTCGTCGCGGCACTGATGTACGGAAGCATTACTGGTGCTCTACCCAAGGAGACGTGCAACCTGGAGTTAGGTGTCTGCAAGCAGTTCACGACTAAGGTACATTACGCTTGGTACATTATCAGCGCCGCCGAGATCGTCATCACTGTTGGCATCTCATGCTACTGGCGCGTCATCTCATTCAAGGGTACCCACATCGTGCAGCGCATGTCGCTACTTACTTTGATCATCCTGGGAGAGGGCATCATCGTTGTCTGCAAGGCGATATCGAAGATCGTCAAGAACGGATCTCAGTTCGATACTCAGCTGACTGGCCAGATCGTCTCTTCGGTGTTGATAATCTGTAAGCTACCAATTGTCGACCTGACTTCTCGAGCATCTTGCTAATAACTCTCAGATCTTCTCTACATGCTCTACTTCGATCGCATGCATGAAGAACACTTCGGTACGATCAAGCAGCAAGTCTGGGCTTCACTCCACTTCTTCCTCCACATCATGCTCGTCCTCGTCCTTCAGGGCGTCTCGTACCTCATCATGTGGGTTGTGGCCCTCATTCGTATGGACCGCGTCGACGAGAAGTTCCGCGAGATTGAAGGGCTCAGCGTGACCGGTGCCTATGCCAACGGCACTCTTTTCGCCAACGCTCTCCGTCGCAAGATCGACGTCTACCTGTGGAACACGATCCCCAAGGGCGTCGATGCGAGTAAAGCACTCGAAACCTGGAACAGCACTCTTGTCACCCTGGCGCAGAGCTTCGATAATCA